CACACCAGAATCATGTGAGGACATTATTAGGTCATTTTGAAGTGGTGGCCTAACTTTTGCAAATTTGGGTTTCTAGGCCACCTTGTCAAAACGACCTAGAAATTACAACAGGGCCATGTTAAGCCATTTTTAGTCTAAAAATAGGTGGTGGCCTAGAAAACCCAACTTGCAAAAGTTAGGACACCGTGTCAAATGCAAAAACTCACAAAAAGGCGCTCATCGTCCGAATCATCCAAGCTCTCCAATTCTGGTTCCTCCTCGTCCTCCTCCTCTTCATCTGCCACGTCATCTTCTGATTCTTCCCTATCCGATTCCACAGCCTGATCATCAAACAACCCATTCCTATTCCCATCATCGTTCTCATCTGAATCCTCTTCCTCGCCTTCTGACAGTTTATTCCAATCGACGACATCATGAGAATCATCCAGATTTTCCTTATTCTCCACGTCATCATCGTCTTCTGAATCCTCCAGAATCACTCGTTTCTTCTGCTTTTTCTGCCATTTTTGATGCCGCCGATCGCTTTCTTTTTCCAGTTTCCTCTCCAAATCGTCCAGCTCGTCCTCTTCGGATTCGTAAACGATTTCAGTGTTCTCGAAATCGTTCGTTTCGTCGCCTTCCACCTCTTCACCATCATCGTCGTCGTCGTCTACGATCCAGTCGTCGTCCTGGAAAACCTTTTTTTGAGATTTTGAGGAATAAATTAATCCAAAAATGTTTGCCATTTTAAAGTGGTGGCCTAGAAAACCAAATTTGCAAAAGTTAGGCCACCATTTAAAATTACCTAGAAATTACAACAGGGTAATGCTAGACTATTTTAAAGCCATTTTGAAGTGGTGGCCTAGAAAACCAAATTTGCAAAAGTTAGGCCACCGCTTCAAAATGACCTAGAAAACACACTAGGGTCATGTTAGGGCATTTTTAGGCCATTTTGAAGTGGTGGCCTAGAAAACCCAACTTGCAAAAGTTAGGCCACCATTTAAAATTACCTAGAAATTACAACAGGGTAATGCTAGACTATTTTAAAGCCATTTTGAAGTGGTGGCCTAGAAAACCAAATTTGCAAAAGTTAGGCCACCGCTTCAAAATGACCTAGAAAACACACTAGGGTCATGTTAGGGCATTTTTAGGCCATTTTGAAGTGGTGGCCTAGAAAACCCAACTTGCAAAGTTAGGCCACGAACCTCAATCATTTCCACTCCTCCATTCCCAATCATTGACTCTTCCAATTCCTCAATTTCTCTTTCCTCCTCCTCTTGTGTCATCTCTCTTGGCTCCTCCCCTTTTGGCATGAATGCACTGCCACGTGGCAAGAATCCAGTTGAAATACAACATTTTTCCATATCAAATGAATATTTCCTGGCGAGTTTTGTGATTTTCTGACGCCAATTTGGCGAATTTTGAGCAGATTCTGACATTAGAATTCGGAAGAAATCGACGGGAAGTGAGATTTCTATGGCACGTGGAAATAGCTCAGCGATTCGGGTCATCAGTCGCTTAGCTGTGGATTTCTCAGTGCAGTTCAATGGAGCGTAGATGCTGACACGGTGAAGATGGGGACCGAGGTGTTCACCGATTTGATGGACTAGTTGCTGAAAGAATGATGGGATTTTAGGAGGGATTCGGGAATTCTGGGAAATTCTGAAATTCAAAAAAAAAGCTTGAAATTTTTGATTACGCAGTTCTAGAATGGTTAGTTGTGAAACGTCGCGATCCTAAAACTTTACGGTTCAACGAAATAGACGCGAAACGGTCAGTCCTAAAACAGTGCGGTTTCAAAGTGACATAGTTCCAAGATACATTGGTTCTAGAACGTCGCGGTTCTGAAACACCGCGGTTTCGGAACGACATAGTTGCGAAACGGTCACTTCTAAAATGCCGCGGTTGTGATGTTTCTTTGTTCCAAAATGCCGCGGTTCTGAAGCGACACGGTTTTGAAACGTTAAAGTTCTAGATTTTAGCGGTTCTTGAATTTCATGGGTTTGAAACGACGCAGTTCTAGAACGTCGCGGTTCTTAAACGTCATGGTTCTGAACTGACATAATTCTAAAACGTCGCGGTTTCAAAGCAACACAGTTCCTAAACACCCCGGTTCTAGAACGTCGCTGTTCTGAAACGTTGCGGTTCTAAAATAAAGTAGTTATAAAGCATCGCGGTTCTAAAACGTACCAGTTCTAGAACGACCTGGTTCTAAAACGACATATTTGCGAAACGGTCAGTTTTGAAAAGTCGCGGTTCTGAAACGTTTAAGCTTTAAAACAGCGCGGTTTTAAAGAGACACAGTTTTGAAATTCCCTGGTTCTAGAACGTCATGGTTCTAGAACGTCATGGTTCTAAAACGACACGGTTCCAAAACGTCTTTCTTTTAAAAATTAAAAATTTCAAATTTCAAATTGCTCACCTCAAAACATTTGACGCCCAAAATTTGAATATGAAATTCGATCAATTCTGGAAAATCATTCAGAGATCCCAATTTTTGAATAAAATCCAAAACGGATGGAATCACTTTTCGTCCCGTTTCAGCAGGCAAATTCAACGAAATTTCACATTTTTCAAGCGATTGAGGCAGTTGACGATCCAAATCGAGCAATCCACAGAGACCTAAATTTAAAAAAATTAAAAAATTTTGAGATTTTTCAAAATTTTCAAAAATTCCATATTTTTTAATTTTTCAAAAATTTTGAGATTTTCAATTCTCGAAAAATTCAAATTTGCGGTTTTTTTCAATTTTCAAATTTTTAAAAATTACCGATTTTCAAATTTTTGGATTTTTTTATTTTCAAAAAATTCAAAAAATGTAAAATTCAAAATTTCAAAATTTTCAGAATTCTAGATTTTTCAATTTTCAAAAGATAACATTTTTAAGATTTTCAAAAATTATAATTTTCTAATATTCCCATTTTAAGATTTTCGGATTTTTAGATTTTTAAACTTTTCAACATTCCAAATGTTTAAATTTTCAGAATTTGCAATTTTCAAAATTTCAAAATCTCAGAATTCTAGATTTTTCGATTTTCAAAAATATCAATTCTCCAATTTTCAAAATTTCAGATTTTTAAATTTGTTATTAGACCCGAAAATCTGAAAAATTGAAAAATCTTGAGTTTTGAAAAATTCGAAATTCGAGTTTTTTCAATTTTTAAAAAAATTCAAATTCCCAAAATTTAAAATTTAAAAACCTTCTGAATGTAGTTTGAATTCGGTATACGTGGCATCTAGAATCGGACGTCTTCTTGAATTCTTCTCTTTTTTCGATTCCATACTCCATGATGACGTCATTTGAGCATGAAAAATGCATTTGAATAGAAGAGAAATCGTCTGGATTCCAGGATATTGATTGATTCGATTCATTAGATTTGGAAGGTAATAATCGAGACCCACGGCTGGCATTGTATGGAGATTCATCTGGAAAATGGGGGGTTTTTAGACTTAAAATGGCTTGAAATGGGCCAGAAAAGATGCTGCTTAAAATAGCTGAAAATGGGCTTAAAATAGCTGAAAAATTGAGAAATTTTCGAATATTTTTAGCCGAATTTAGACGATATTAGGGCTAGTTTTAAGCGCCATTTTCCAGAAATTTTGGGCTGGAAAAAAGAGTTTTTCAACTAGTTTACGATCAGTTTTCCGTCATTTTCAGCACAAAATCGGAAAATTCGGCTATTTTTAACCCATTTTTGGCGATTTTTGATCATGTTAAACCATGAAAAATGATCAAAAATGGTTAGAAATGTGCTGAAAATAGCCGAATTTTCAGACAATTTTGAGCCATTTTCACCTATTTTCGACTATTTTCAACTGATTTTTTAGGTGGAAATGACTGAAAAAGTCAGATTTTTCACTATTTTTCAGCCTAAACGCCGCCGGAATTTCGAAAAATTCGAAAGAAAGTCAATTTTGAGAATTTTGGACCGTTCCTGACTGATTTTTGAGGATTTTCACCAATTTTTGGATAATTTCTGACTGATTTTTGAGCTTTTTTCGATTTTTTTTTCACTATTTTTGTTCAAACATTCTATATGACTATAAAACCCTGAATTTTTATTTGAAAATGGTAATTTTAAGGTAAAAAATACGCCAACAATTAATTTTTTTTTCAAAAATCGGTCACAAAATGACCACAATCAGTCACACACAAATCACAAAATTGGCACATTCTTCTATTTTTTTTCCGATTTTTTCGGTTTTCGAAATTGTTAGAAAATTAGAAAAATGGGAAATTTTTGGGATAAGAAATTGAAGATTTTGAGCGATTTTTGAAAAGTTTTAAGGCAATTTTTGACGGATTTTCAGCAATTTCAGCTAATTTTCAGCTAGTTTTTCAGTCTTTTGGCTTTTGAAATTGCCAGAAAAGTTAGAAAATTGGGGAATTTTTTCAGATTTTCAGATTTTTTTTTCAAATATTTTAAAGTCTTTTTTGGAATTTTTTGACGAATTTTCAGCCATTTTCAGCCAATTTTCCAGCATTTTTCCCTCACATTCAAATGCTTCACAACAGGATAATCCAACGCATTTTCCAGCTCCTCAAATTTGAAAAACGCCTGTAAAACCGAATCAAAAGAGCACAATTTGGTCAACGACTGGTCCAAACTTCCGAAATTCAACGATTCTATGGGCAATCCACGTTTCGAGAGCCGTTGAAAAATCTTAAAATTTTTAGTATTTTTTTCCAGAAATTTGAGATGAATTTGTACCTTTTCCGGAACATTCCAGAATCCGAGATTTTGGATTTTGGGGTAGGCATCGAGCAGATTTCCGTGTTTTCGACTCCAAATCGCTTGGTAGAGGTTCAGAAGAACGTCCATTTCCATACGAGAGCTGGAAATGCGATTTTTTGAAGCTTTGGGAAATTTGGAATTTGAAAATTCGAGTTTCTAGAAAAATCGAAATTTTGAAATTTCCATTCTCCGAAAAAAGGCCTAAAATTACAGAAATTCAAAAATTCGGAACGTTTTTGGGAATCTGATTTTTCAAAAAAGTGGGAAATTTAGAAAATTCAAATTTTCAGGATATTCAGAAATATCCGATTTTTTAGAATTTTTTAAACTGAAAATTTAGGAAAATCTAAAAAATTTGAATTTTCAGAAAAATTTGAAATTTCGGGAAAATTTTGAAAAAACTGAAATTCGACTTTTTTTAAGGTTTAGAAAAAATTTAAAGAATCTATAAAAATTTAAATTTTCAGAAAAATCAGGAATTTTGAAAAAAATTGAAAAAATCTAAAAATTCCAAAAATTTGAAATTTTCAGAAAAAAAAATAATATATTTATTTGCGATGCATGGGGGGAAATTGAAAATTTTGAATTTTCCAAATTTTTTGAAAATCTGAATTGTTCAGAAAAATCGGAAATTTTAGAAAAAAAATTTAAAATTTCCAAAAAAAAAACCGAATTTTTCTGAAAAAAAAACTTTCAAATTTGCAGAATCTCAAAAAATTGGAAGTTCTAGAAAAATCTGAATTTTTCAGAAAAATCGGAAAACTGAAAATTTGGAAAAACTGAAAAATTCCAGAAATTTTCGAATTTTCAGAATTTTTTTTCCAAGTTTTTCAAAAATCTTACGGATTATGGGGTACGGAGAATCCAAAATACATTGTCTCCAGATTCCGAAAATCCTTCAAAAACTCGAATTCCCCAAAATTGGGTCTTCCAATGATATGAAAAGTCAAATTTAGAGATTTCAATTGGTCCTTATTCTGAATCTTATGAATAACCGAATGATTCGCATGGTTCCAGGTGAAATTTTCCAATTTTTCCAGCGATGGGAGTACGGTAGAGCGCAGTTTGCATGCTGCCAACGATTTCATATTTCCCAGGTCCAACGTGGTGATTTGGTCCAATCGATGACGGAAACTGCGAATCATTCGAGATGGGCGCATGAAAATTGGCGAGATTGAGACGGTGGAGCTGGAAACAATGGCGGGAATTTGAATTTTTTTTAGAACAATCTTGGATTTTTTCGAAAAATCTGGAAATCAAAAAATTCGAACATTGTAAATTGTCAGATTTTTTGCTCCAAATTTTGCTCGAAATTAGAAAATTTTGGAATTTTCACAAAATTACGAAACTCTAGAATTTTAAAAATTTTATGGAATTTTTTTTCTCGAAAAATTGAAAATTTGGGAAATCTGAATTTTCAGAAAAATTGGATTTTCAGATAAGCCTGAAAATTGAAAAATTTTCAGAAAAATATTTGAATTTCGCGAAAAAATCAGGGTATTCGGATATTTTGAAAAATCGCAATTTTTTTGAATTTTTAACTTTCGAATTTGCTCAACATAATTGGGATTTTCAGGAAAAAAACCCTGTAAATTCTGGAAATTCCAGATTTTTTTTTGAAAAAAATTTGAATTTTTCCAATTTTTACCTCTGAAACTTCTCCAGAATATGCATCATCTTCTTCTGAAGCATAAACGGAGCCCTTGGCAAGTATTGCTCATCGGTGACAGATTGGAAGCCCAGTGCGCGGGAATTCAAATTTTCGAAATCAAAATGTACTCCAATCTCCAGAAGCTTCTCTAGAAGACGTGCCAATTCTCGAATTTTCTCATGCAGATGCTTCTTTTTTTCTTTTTCTTCTTTTCCGTTAAAATCGAAAAATTCCAGCTGAAATGGATTTTCTTCGCGGAAAAATCGACACAAATCGATTTTCAGCGGCCCCTTTTTCGATAATTTCCGAATTTCCTTCTTTATCGCTTCCTTCGCCGACTCATTCACATCCCAAAGGTCTAGCAAAGTCCGAGAATTCACTGAAAAACCGACGATTCGCCGGAAAATGTCCACCGGGAGTTCTTCGTCCATCTGCAACGAATTTTGGGTGTTTTTTGAGTGGAAAATTGTTTTAAAAACTTTGAAAATTTATTTTTGTCAGGAAAATCTGGAAAAATCGAGAAATTTCGAGCGAAAATGGGCAAAAATCCCGGTTTGGCGCCTAAATTTGTTTTGCGAGTTGCGCCGCTGTGCATTTCGTCGTGGTGGTGTTTGCGGACTTTGGGAGAATTTCAGAAAAAAAAAGTTGAAGAGGGAGAAAAGGCAGCGGTTAAATCGGGATTTTCGAAGGATTTCGAAAAAAAAATGAAAGAAGTAGATTTCTATGTAGAAAAATTTTAAAATGCATTAATTTGAATTTGAAGTGAAACATTGGGTTAAAAATCAGTTAAAAGGCAACAACCTGAAGAATCAGCTGTTTTCAGTTTCCGAAAAGATTTTCCTATGAAATTATAGAATTTTAGAGACTGAAAATCCCTGCAAAATCAATTTTTCCGCCCTTCAAGCACACCCACATTTTAAAAAATTTTCAGCGCGGTCCCGGGTTTATGATTGCCCTCCACCCCTATGGCTTGCCGTGCTTCCGTGGCGCAATAGGCAGCGCGTTCGGCTGTTAACCGAAAGGTTGGTGGTTCGAGCCCACCCGGGAGCGAAACTTTTTTTCTTATTTTTTGTTGCTTTGTAACTCATTTCAAATATCATTTATTCATCATCTTCACCCCAGAAAAATTTTCCCAAAACAGCCAACAACACAGCAGCAACAAATTGAATAGTAAATTTAGAGCCTAAAAATTTAGAAATATCGGATCGCTGATCGACCTGGAACTGCTTGGAAATCTCGTAGGTTTCTTCGACTGCAAAATCGCTCTATTGAGAATATTTTAAATTTTTAAAAAATCAAAATCACCTGGTTCAGGACCGAACTTTTCGTATAAAAAGTGTCCGAGAGAGGCAATAAGGAAAATGGCAAGTAGAGCCATTGTGGCGCCAATTAGAACTTTCGGGAAGGTTCCACATTTTTTAGAATGAGCTTTTCTATTGTATTTCGGAGTAATATAGAGAATTTTTGCTGCTGATCCATTACTTTTTTTGTCATCAGCCTCAATTACGACGCTATGGTAGACGGGCATTTTTGGGGTGGTTTGAAGGGAAGAATGAAGAAAAAAGAAGGAAGTAATGGGATGTCAGATGTTTTTATAATTATTTTTAGTTCGAACGGTAAGAAATGCGAAAACATGAAATCGGTGATTTTTGTACAGTGAGATTCACCTCGCGCCGCCTCCCTCTTCCTCTCTCGCACTCTGCGTCTCTTCCACACATTGATAACCGACAAGTGGTACACAGGGGAAATGTGTTTCCGTGGCGCAATACACAGGTAGAGGGGGACTGCCGAAAAACGGGCCGTCTGGCGGGCGCGGACTGCCGAAAAGCGAACAGTCGAATCGCGCGCCGCCGACGGTCCGTCTGCAACGCTTTGCGCCTCGCAGACGGACCGTCTAAAATTGTTGCGTCTTCTCGACAGTTCATTATTCAATAGCTGTTGTTCATCATATTCTAGCTTGTGACTTTAGATCGAAACTAATACCAATAAAAATTTATTGGTTAAACAGGCCTATACTGGCAACAACAGTAACGTCCCTTTTACATAAATTTGACCCGCCAACCACCAGTCATTGACCAGTCGTTCAACAACCTATTTTTAGAGGTGGTCTGATATGAGCAAAATTAGATTCTATAATTTAGTGGGAGTATGGAAAATTGTTTTCTGAACGATTTCCAATCAAAACCTGCAATTCAGTTTTCCAACGGGTTCCGACTGTCCGTCAGTTTTCCTTCGACTGCCAACTAGCAGTCATTCGCCAGTTTGCGCCTCTTCAGCTGTCATTCAGCAGTTTTCCGGCAGTCCCCCTCTACCTGTGTAGGCAGCGCGTTCGGTTGTTAACCGAAAGGTTGGTGGTTCGAGCCCACCCGGGAGCGAAACTTTTTTTCTTCATTGTTTGAATATTTGCTTTGGTTTTAAATCGATTTTTAGGTTTTTGAGGTCAATTTTTGGTGTTTGGGATGGAATTGTTTCTATGTTTTTTTCAAAGAAAAATTTTTTATTTAAGAAAAAAAAAGTTAAAACTCAATCATCACCCTTCTCCTCCTCCAAAAATGCATTAGCAATTTTGAAAGCTTTCCTAACTTTTTTCTGATGTTTGAGCATAAAAACTGCCAGGAAAACGAGAAGAACTAGGAATAGCCAGGTGCAGCGGTAGACGATTACTGTAGAAAATTTGAAAAAAAAACTTTTAAGAATTGAACTTACAACAACGACAGGTTTTGTAGGAGTATTTAGTGGTGTTGAAACAGCAGGAAGCGGCTTTTCGGGTTTTAGGCTTTTTAGGCTTTTTAGGCCTTTCAAGATTTTTCGCCAAAAGAAGCAATCTTTTATCATCAGAATCCAAGGTTGTTGGAGGGTCCATTGCTATCAGAAAAATATAATTTCTAGAAAAATGTTTAATCTTTTAAACTAATTATTTCTGAGGAAAATGACTAATTGAATCTATGAGTAACTAGTAATCTAGTTCAGAATGAACGGGGCTGATATGGATATCAATCAAAAATGGAAAACGATCAGCAATGAATTGCTTACTTTTATTTTGAAAAAAAATCCTATTTGGGCAATTTCTGAATTTCCGAATTTATGATATTCAAAGTTTTTGGAATTACCAGATTTTGATTTTTTAATTTTTGATTTTTGAAATTTCGAAATTTCGAATTTTTGAATTTTTGATTTTTTAAATTTCTGAATTTCTGAATTCTGAACTTCTGAATTTCTGAATTTCTGAATTTCTGAATTTCTGGGAAAAAACATAATTTAAAAAAAAACTAATTTATTCAATTTTTGAAAAACATTTGAATTGTGAATTTCGCTTGATTCGATTTCTTGATTTTCCAGCCAGTTGCACTTTCAGCACTCTGAAAATTTCGGATTTTTCCAAAGTTTTCAATTTTTTTTTCAAATTTCAAAATTTTCAGACTTTTTCAGATTTCCAACCTCAGTCAACAACCAATTTCCTCGTATCGAATTTCCAGATAAGTTGTCTGAAAATCTCATTTTCACATCCATATCTCCAAATTTTGTGTAATTAGCTGATTTGATTTGGATTTCCAGATTTTGACGAATTTCAGAAATTCCAGAAAATTCTAAAAAAGATCTTTATCTGTTTTAGGCCAAAATTCACCAGAAAAACTCACCCTGACCGTCTGGAAATAAACTTTTCAGCGATTGCTCATCTTTATTTTTGATGGCAATTAAAAATACAGTAACCTGTTTATTGACTACGGTAATTGGTGACATTTTTAAAGGGGTTTGGGGAAATTTTTGACGAAAAAAATCGGAAAGAGCATACTTGTGAAATTTCGGCCCGGCCCGGTTCGGCCCGGGCCGGGCCGAGAGAAAAAAAACACTGAATACCTTTTTTCGAAACAATGATTTAACTTTTCGCTCAAGATTTTGAAGTTCGCGGTAAACTTCCGGGCCGACCGGGCCTCCGGTTCACAAATTCACAAATTCACAAATTCACAAATTTCAGAAATACAGAAATTCAGAAATTCAGAAATTCAGAAATTCAGAAATTCAGAAATTCAATAATTCAGAAGATCAGAAATTCAGAAATTATGAAATTATGAAAATTC